ATTTGCTGGTATATTTAATGCACTCCATTAATGAGGTTTAAAGCAAACCCCAAAAGAAAAACATCTAAGTTAAAATGCTTTACCAAAATGACAAAGAAATAAAGCATCTCCCAAGCTTTTTTGGTCAGCAGAATGCCGAATTTATTCTGTTTCATCAAGTGTCCCAATCCTTATATTGGGCGCAAGCAATCTACCTTATATTATTTTGACAAATTTTAAGACCAGTAATTTCCATATTAAAGAGCATTTTGAGGGAAAACTGACTATTTAAAATATTCTTTATAAGAGGATTAATGCAAAAATTTATATTTCATATATTTTTACTAAAAGCTGGGCCATGATCCAAACCCTCAGGCTGCTACAGCTTAACTTATTTTGTTAAATTTTAACTTGAAACTGTATGCTGTGAAATATGTATATCATGCATAAGATTTTTGCTTTTGTGGAACATAGCAAAGAATCAGTCCGGATATAGTCAAGTTTCAATGAGCAAAACAGAAGGAACTCCTTTCCCCAAAAAAATATAGAGAGAAAATTCGACCTTGAATTGATTCAATTTTCGAAATACATGCTCCAATATTCCCTTGGACTTGCATTGAAATTCAGAGTTCCAACAGCTATTCTGTCAAAAATTCTGATGTACCAAAGCTCAAGTAATCAAAGTTTTATTGTTATTCACTCTATGGCAATTAAGTAATGAAAGTGTGTATTAAAAATAGGTTGTAGAGCTTACAATAATTGAATTTCCTGTATTAATTCAAGTATGGCAGGTAATGAAAGAGAAGATTTGCAGAGGTCATGTACAAACACTTTAAGAGGAAACTGCAGTTTTTGGGAGAGGAAAATAATCACAAGGAGACAAATCTGAAGAACAAGAAGGACAACTGAGTACACATACTTATTTTCAGAACAGAACCGGTTCTACAAAATGGTTATTGCCCAATAGGAAGATGCTTTATCATGCAATATAAGGCATTTGGAATAATGTTTCTGATTGAATAGTGTAAGATTAAAAATCATAAGATTAAAAATCATCTTATTAATTCTCAGCCATTTAAAAGTCAACTACTTGGGCAAATGTTTAAAATTTCAGAATTCTTTTGACACCTTAGTTTGTAAGGCAAACCTAATATCACTTAACTGTAAACACACATTTAAATCTTCCCAGAATGCAAGGACATCATCATCCCATCTCTAGCTCAGATTCCAAGAACACTAAGTGAATAAAATAATATCGGGTTGGAGGGAAAGTTCTGTCGTATTTTAAATAGGCAGGTGATTTTTCTTGTAAATAAAAAAAAAAATCTGGCTAGTGAGTCAATCGGATTTTTTTGTTTTTTTAGCTGCTGTATAATATAAAAGGTGCCCTTTTTTAACGTTCATCATTTACTTGTAATATTTAAAGGGAAAAACATGTCGGTAGATAAAGTGCATTTACGACACTGCTTTTTATATGAATTCCAAAAAGGAAGCAACGCATCTGTTGCATGTAAAAATTTATGTGCGGTATTTGGAAAAGATATTGTAAATGTTCGTACTTGTCAAAGATGGTTTAGCAAATTTCGTTCCGGGGACCTGAGCCTCAAAGAAAGTGTTCAATCTGGACGACCATCCAAGATCGATAATGATGTTTTGCGATCCATGTTGGAAAATAATCCACATTTAACAAGTCGAGAAATTGCAGAAGAGTTTGGCATTCATCATACAACTGTTGGAGATCACATTAAATCTCTTGGGTTTGTGTTAAAGCAAAGTGTTTGGGTTCCACATGAATTAACGGAAAAGAATTTGTCTGATCGTGTAAGAATATGTTCATCACATCTGATTAGACACAATGTGGAGCCGTTTTTGGACAGGCTGGTTACTGGAGATGAAAAGTGGATTCTTTATGAGAATATTAAAAGAAAAAAATCTTACTGCAAACCAGGAACATCATCAGCAACAGTTCCAAAACCAAGTATCCATCAACGAAAAATACTGCTTTGTTTGTGGTGGGACAGGAAAGGTCCAGTGTATTACGAGTTGCTGGAACAGGGAAAAACATCAACGCGGATCTGTACTGCAATCAGCTGGATAAATTGAATGCAGCTATCAAAGAAAAAAGGCCAGCATTAGCGTCCAGAAAAGGAATAGTGTTCCATCACGATAATGCTCGCCCGCATACTGCAGTGGTGACACTACAAAAACTGAATGCATTAGGATGGGAAATCCTTAGTCACCCCCCGTATTCACCTGACATTGCACCCTCTGATTATTACCTGTTCAGATCTCTGCAAAATTATCTAACGGGAAAAAAATTCAAGTCTTTTGAAAGTGTTTCTAAGGCAGTTGCTGACTATTTTAACTCCATGGATGAGAACTTCTACAAAACAGGAATTTACAGGTTACCTGGAAGATGGCAACAGGTTGTAACAAATAACGGAGCATATATAATTGATTAATATTAAACACATATTTTTATAAATGAATTCAAATTCAAATATTTTCTTAAAATACGACAGAACTTTCCCTCCAACCCAATAGCAAATGTAACCGAGTATTCATTTGCACTATGGCATGGTAGTTTACTAAAGAGAAAGCAAAACTTAAATCCTGCTTTTTGGTGTGAGAGAATGCAACACTTTTAAATATTAAAAAATAAAATAATAAATTAGAGACTAATAACCTGGCTTCTAATTTAAGCGAGCCCCATCAATGGCTTAGTGCTTGAAGACACTGACTACTGGTCATTTGATGCGGAGTCAAATGGCAGGCTGAGTGATTGACTTTGGTAGTATTCTAGGTAATTAAGAGGAGTCACTTTTCTTTGGAAGAGTCCTCAGTGAAGCCATTCCTTCTCTTAGGCAGATAGCCTCCATGTGCTTTGCCACAATTAAATAGCCAACCAACCTACTTTATACATGATTTTTAAATGGATATTTTTAAGCTTAGAAAACCAAAAGCTCATTGAAAACCAATGTAGTTATCTGATGGTGAGAAGTGTGATAAATAATAACTCTAATGGTTAAAATGACAATACTCTCGCTCTGCACTTAGATTGTCATTTGTTAGTTTAAACATACTTAATTTATGCATTTTGGCAAAGTTGAGGAAAAAAGTAGAAGTGCAAGTTTGATTGACAAACAATTAGCTACAGACAAAGATGGCTTTTAAATGTTTCAAATTATTTTAGAAGTAGAATTTCAGGTAATTCCAGCATAACAGAAAATGTAATAGAAACAATAATGTGAAAATAAATATAACAATATTCATTATTTATAATATTACTAATGATTAGAATTTAGGTCGTGACAAATCACAATTTGACTTTTAAAAATGTGTTTACTTAAAAATATATTTTGCTTTGGGGAAAAAATGGCCTTTGATGATAATATTAGCGGCCAATTTTATTAAACAACAGTTTATTAAGAGATTTGTTATGCAGTTAATACTACAAAATGTCTTCGGCCATAAAACATCTTCAGAATCACTTTTATTTGTTGCCTTTGTTATACACACCAAAAAAAAAGAGATAAAAATCATATACTAGTAAATTTTGCTGCTGTTAAACACTTCTGTAGCAGTAGACATGTTTTATTTATTATTTTTTTTTTGGTGGATTGTTTTGTATATTTAGAAGTATTGCATATATGTATGATGAACAATTTTGAAATCTGTATTTGCTGCATATAAAATGAAATTAAGTAAAACAGCAGGCAACAAAATGGTGAAGGTAAAAATTGACTATTATACATGAAGAAAAAAATCTTTAAACTTTTCATTAATATTTGTTATAAATTTAAACACTAGCTTTTCATATAGTGTTAATAAACTATTTATTAACCATCATAAATAAAAATGAGAATTTAAAAATTCTCCTCCAGTAATCTTCAATAAAGGTTTATTCGGAAATTTAGCCTCAAAATAACTATTGCAGTTTATTTAAAGATTGTGAAAAAATGTGAAAATGCTATCTGGCTTTATTATGACTTATAACAAAGATGCCAAATTTCAAAACATGCCAGTATATAAATACACACATATTTTGGAAGTTTTGAATAAAAAAATTTTTCAGATCCAGATCTTATTTTTTACAGTTATGCCTATAAATACATCTACTTTAAGATGATGTAAAAAGTTTTATTAGTTCAAAATGTTTTTTTTTAAAAAATTATATGAATTACTAAAAAAATATAAATTTAAAAAGTAAATCAGAAAAAATGTGCAGATTTTATTTGTATTGAACCTAAATTTTTAATTGTGAAAGAAGACATCCAATAAATTTAATAAGAAATAGATATTAATAAGTATTACCAAATTCAGTTAATGTTGAGGAGCTAAAATTTTGAGAGCTAATATTTAAAAAACTACATATATTATTTTTACAAAATTTGGCACTTTGGCATAATTTGAGGCATACAATCAAAATATGGGAAAAAATCGGCATGTCGTTTCAGGAAAAGCTCTGATTTTGTATCAAAATACATATATCAGGAGAATGCTATGTTCTAAAATGTACCCTAAGTTGCACTTTCGAGAGGTGAAACATGCAAGTTGAATTTCATTAGTTGGCCGAGTAGAATGGGAGATATAAAACTGTCCCTCCTACTTTTTTTTTTTTTTTTTTTTTTTTTATTTTGAGTGGGTGTACATTTTTGCTTACCATTTCTATAACTGATGATTAATATCTATAAAAATTGAATTTAGCATCAAATTACATTTCAAAGGATGCTTAATATGTAACTCCTTCTTAAAGATTATTATAGCATTTAAGAGGAGTTGAAACATGGAAAAAAAAATTGATTTTAGTTTACTTATTATTTATAGTTTAATTTTGCCAGGTATCTGAAAGTTTTATAATGACTAAAAAATTAATAAATACATTAAAAAATAAAGCTACATGTTATTCATCTTCGATGTGAAATTGTAATCATGCATAACAGAAGTGTTCACATCAGGCTTTAGACTGCATCACCTGAATGACATGCTTCTCAGTTAGAGCTTGTAATGTTACTACAGTAATGTGTGAAAGATATGCAACCAATTTTTGGCTGAAATTAGAATCAGATGTGAAAGGTATTATTGTAGGTTAAAAAAAACAAAGAAATGTGATATTTAATTCTTCATGAGATATTACCATTTGTTTCTTTCTTTAATACTTTTTTTTAAAAATCAGATTGTACAGAATGATGCATGGGTGTGCTACTTGTGTAAATCTGATCCTGATAGGTCATGTCTCATTAAGCGGCGGAAGAACTATGAAACTATTATGTATACTCCTCCACAACCACCAAAAGAAAAATTACCAATCTGTGTGATTTCTCAGAGTGATATATGTAAGTTTCTATTTCATAATTTTAACTCAAATTTAATGAAAGATTGCTTCTGCTCTTACCGGGTGTGAGGTAATGTTGCATAAAATAATACATTTCTTTTTTTGCACTAATTTCCAGTTAAGTAGAAGACTTCATTTTCTCTATGCAGATTTTGTAAAGCTTTTGTTTTTGTAGATTGTTTAATTTTTATCATCTATTTTATAGTTTTACCCTTGGAATTTTGGAGTTAATTGTTTTAGAACAAAAATCATTAAATTTAATTTTGCAGAGTATTTTCCTATTCTATCTACATTCATACTAGAGCTTTTTAATGTTAACTGTGTATTGGTTGTAGCATTCCATCAGTCAAAGTTCCATTTCAGATCAAGGATTTTGTGGAAGATGTTTACTGTTTATTTACGAAATAATAAGTAGGAATGTGCTTGTTAAGGATAAAAGTAATAATTATTTAGGTTGTAAAGTCCAACAGGTATTTTTCTATATGAAGGACTGGAATAGCAGTAGTAGTAACTACACACAGTAGAAAGGTTAATGAACCCTTTATTAGCTCTTTAAAATTGACAATGCATCAACTCGACGCTAACAAACTTCGCCTCTACTCAGGCGGTAACTGAAAATCAAATAACGACACTAAAATTAGAAGGTATTAAACAAGTGCTAAAACTAACCTACAGGGCTCAGTGAGATCCCGTTACTTAAACCCCCTTTGAAACTAGTGGCAGCAATTAAATGCAGTTAAGCCACTTGAACCAGCAATAAGCAAACATATCTACAGCAGAGGTGGCGGCTATAGCCTTTCTTTTCTTCTACCGAAACTCAGCTTTTAAATACTTTCTTCAAAGTAAAATTTGCATTCCTTCACACATGCTACAAAATTTAAATATTCTGTCACTAGCAATTAGGGGAATGAAGGCTTATAGGAAAGTTTCAAATTAAACTTTAACTTGTTAGTTAAAATAAATATAAATCCCTACAAGGTTAGATCTATGAATTTTAAAACTATTAGTTTTATCTGTGTAATGGAGTTTTTATTTGAAATTTGAATGCCTCTGAGTAAAATAAAATAATTTAACTTTCAATAGAATTTCCATGGAAATGCAATGGCTTTTTTAATTTTTTTTTCAGGCCATAAAGTTTTAATGAAGGAAAAGATAATAATAGAAAAGTATTGTATTCAACCTTGTAACGATGCAGGATCCTGTGAGCATACAAAATATTCTGAAAAATATGAGGATTTTTCTGAAAAAGAGGTGATTAATTTCTCATCGAATTTTTATTTAATTCTGTTAGATGTTGATTGGTTTGTGATTTTGATTAACTAAAACCACCATATTTTATATAAAAGTATTCATGTATAAATAAATAAACTGCCAATCATAATTTCTCAATTTGTCATCTTCATTTCAGTCACTTTCTACCATATTGTAAAATATAAGGGCATTTTGTAATTCTCTAGTGTGTAATTCCAGGGAAAATTGACTAAACATATATACTAGATGTATCACTCTCCTGGTTTTACTGGGAGACTCCATATTTTTTGTCTTATCTTCCAGTCTTCCAGTAGGTCTCCAGATCTCTTGGTTTTTAATTTATCTAAGTTACCTCTTTCAAGTATAGTTTTAGAATTGTTGATCTCTAATTATCAGAAAGGAAATGCTGTGAAGAAAATTTTCATTACAAGGTCTTAAGAAAAGCTATTATCATCTGTTAATGAAATGGGAAATTGTTCAAGTTCAATTTTCTGATCTGGTTCAACGAAAAAGGAGAGTGGTACAAGAAATGTGGAACACCAAAAAGTAGAAGGCTGATTTCACTCTGACTTCGGCTACTACCTACAAAACTGTGGAAGATGGTAAAAAAACTTAGTAATAAACAACCACAGTATGAGGTTTGTAACTTCAATTATGTCAACCACAGTATGAGGTTTGTAACTTCATTTATGTCAACCACAGGCAGTTTGCCCCTAATTATAAGGCTGCTGCTAATCTATTAGGTTGCCACTAGCAAAAAATAAGTAAACTAATTTTTATCTGAGAAGATAAAATGCTGAAGAATAGGGCCAGATACATTGTTCATGGTTGCCAAAGTAAAATACATAAAGAGGACACTTGATCTTTCTAAATCTCCTGGTTCCTGATAATATTCATAGTAAAATGATGTACCCTTGAGGTGAGTCTTGGAAATTTTTAATCCTGGAAGCCAGGTAGACGTCATCAAGAGTGCAAATGTGAGAGCCTAATAAACCAGCCTGATTGCCCCACAGTTTTTGATATATTGCATTGACTAGTTTCCCATGTAAGGTAATGGAGAAAATGATTTTACACAGACGGACATTTTACTTGGATTCTACTGATTTATTTCCGAGAGAACACTCTGCTATCGATCAAATCCTATATTTTGTGCAAAAAGTCTCAAAGATTCACATAAATTGAAATCCACTAGCCACACAGCAGCAGTGTTTTTAGACTTGACAAAAGCTTTTGATTTAGTCTAGATTAATAAGCTGATCACAAAGTATATAATACTTTTAAATTTGATGGGAAGGCACTAGCCTGGGCTGAAGATTTTCTGAGTTGCAGATCTTTGTCAACTTTAATGTTCTCTAAAGACTACAGACTAAGCCTTAGGCTCTGTTATGAGTCCCTTATTATTCTCATTATATTCGGCAGGGATTCAGACAGTTATTTCTCAGAGATGTGAAACTGGACTATTTGCTAATGATTTAATTTCATGGAACTCTGGTCCAGATATTGTAGTGATTGAAAATAGTATCAATTCTACACTTTCTGTAGTGGAAGTTTTCACCACCCACTATAAAATACAATTTAACATCTCTAAATCTTTTGTGTGTGTTTTTTTACCATTAATAAAAAATTATATAATTATCATCCGGATAAATGTTATGCTCATTTAGCTTTTAACCATATATTAAACATCCTACGTATTTGGGCTACTTGCTTGATCTGAAGCTGCTGAGTAATAAATACAATGAAAATCTGTTTTTGAGGGGCAGGGAGGGAAAAACTTAATTTCCTTAAGTATATATCTGGTACTATGTGGGGGGACAGATTAATGTACTTTCAAATGTACATATATGTCACTTATAGCACTTATTTTGGAAGATTATTTTATGGTTCAGAGATTTACTTCTGTGCTTCTACCCATTTGGCTAAACTTGAGCATGTTCATTTGAATGCAGCCTGTCTAATTGCTGACATATACAACAGCTGGCCACCTGAAATAGCTCTCCTTAAATGTGATATACAACCGTTTTATCTGAGACTCAAAGCTAAACTGTCAAATTACTTTAATAAACTATAAAGTTATGGTTTTCATAACCATACCTCAATATTTCTTCATAATTGGGCTTCTAATCAAAGATTAGAATGAAATAGTCTTTTTTCTGTGGCATATCTCATCAGTTTAATAAATACTCACTGAAACTTACTATCAACCCATTGGCAGGACTTTCTGGTGTCTATTTTCACATAGACTTCACCTTTATACCTGTACCCTCCTCAAAAAATAAAAAATTACCAGATTATCTTTGGAAGATAGCACTGGAAATTTTAAATGGCATTCGCTCTAATGCCTTTTACTTTTTCACTGACAGCAGTAAAAATGAATATGGCAATTGCATTAGTGGAGTCTTCATTAGAACACCTAATAATAGCTTTAATATTAAGACTAGAAACCTATTGATCACTATTCTCTTCTTCATTCTGAGCTTATAGCAACTGAGGAGAGCACTGCAAGTGTATGCAGCCTCTTGCACTGCCTACAAAGATATCTGTAGGCAGTGCAAGAGGACTGACAATTGTCGTTCTATCCAGCATTTGTGAAATTGGCCTTGTATTGGTGATCAGACTTCATTCTCTATTTTCTCTTTACTGCAAAAACATACTTCCAAACATGATGTACATCTACAATGGATGCCTTCACATATTAGCCTCAGTGGTAATGAAATGGCTGATGCCCTAGCTGAGGAAGGTACTTCAGGGACTCTGATGACTGGCACGCTGACCTTTTTGGAGATCTGCTCAATAGTTAAATGTACTGTTGCCTCTTCCTGGCATTCTCATCCGACTCATGATTGGCACTTTGGCAGACAGCCAAGAGTTGCTATTGATTTTGGAAGTAATCGTGTTCAGCAGACTACTTTGATGAGGCTCCTCAGTAGACACCTGAAGTGCCTTAGATTTGACTGAGAAAATAAGATCTACTCTATCTGTAGGAAATGTAATACTGATCATATCAGTACTGAGCAACTTCTCACCTGTTTGGGGTTTGTAAAAGAGGATCACTTGAAAAGGGCCTACCTTTGCTTTTGGTTTATTCATGGTTCTTGAATTCATGGATCTGGTCTAATCAGTTAGTAACAGCAGCAACAGTTCCATTTTCTTCTAAGTACTTATTTGGCCCGATATGTTTTTCATCATTATAGAGATTTGTAAATCATTTTCTAAAGGCTTAAATAATGCTTAAAAGGCAAATATTAGTGTTTAATTTTATTTCAACTGGAGCACTACGAAATTTATCTTTATGATTGTAATCATATTAATTAGCTTTGAACTTTAGTGCTTTGAAGCTTTTCCTACATACTTAGATTTTCACTGATATAAAATTATAAAAAAATAAAAAGAATCTAATGAATTAGCCAAAAATCATTCATTCAAAGTAAAATTTAGAGTAGACTAAATATTAAGTTAATATATTTTATCACAGAATTTTGAAACAGGAGAGAGAAAGAAAAACTTCCTGCTTTTCAGATTTCAAATTTGGCAGCTATAATGTTGAATTGCATAGTAAAGATGCTGAATCGATTCACTAATCTATTTTGTATGCTGCTAGGGTTTTAACTGTAGCATATTCTTATTTCTAATTAAATAAATGTATCTGAAAATTTTGTGAATGGGTTTTTTTTTTTTTTCCCTAGATTTCATAACATGGCAAAAACATTTTGTATGTCACTGTTAGTGTAATTTTTTTAATTGCAGCATTAATAGTAATCTGCTGATTTCATACGTCTAAATCTAGTATCTCAACTGTCAGATCAACTGAAATTCTGAATAATTAGACTTTTAAGATTTTGTGTAATTTATTGTTTTGCATTTGGTTGTCAAGTCTCCCACTCTGATGCTTCCTACTCTAAGTCTCCCTCTCTGACACCAAACTGATGTTCCCTGCCAGAGAACAATTAAGCTTATTAGTGCCTACATAGGATATACTTGTTGAAGAATGTGTGTTTTCTGAAAGTTTTCTGTTGAAATGCTTTAAAAAATCAATTTAAAATATGTTTTATATACTTCGATATATTAAAAAAGTGTCAGCTGGTGTTACATTGTAAGAGAATGTGTGAAATCATTCATGGTGTGGTCTAAGCTTCAGTCTAAAGAAAGGGATATGTAGCATTTGTTATGTGTAAAGTAGATTTGTTTATACTGTTAGAAACGGTTATAGTTAAACATATTTTTTCTTCAAATTGTTGAGACTACTTTCATAGCAACTACTCCTGTGAAAGAAAAAAAAATAACAAAGAGAAGAAGTAAACAATTATGGATTTGAGCGTTTTGGCAGCAGAGAGAATATGCTAATAAAGAGAGAAACATGACAAAAACTGTAGAACTGGCATTTTTATTTAGAACATTAACTTGAGCTCAGATTTTTTTTTGAGTTTTTGAATCAGCCGTAATCAAATATTGTTGTTTAAATCATTATCATTTTAACCGTTTGACTGCTACGCAGCGCAAAAGCATTCATTTGTCTTGAAAACTGCGACGCAGTTAGTTATTTTGGAATGCACTTGTGTTACAAAGTACGCGTAAGGTCAGACTACGTACGTTCACACCCACTGAGCAACAAAGACACACTGAAACTCACAGCGCAGAAGTGCTGCATCGTGGTTTTTGAGACAAATGAACACAGCACTTTTGCGCCATGTAGCAGTCGAACGGTTAAACTAAGAATGGAAATAATATTGTGTCATTATAAAACTAAGAAAAGCTAAGTCATGTGTGATGATTATTTCTATGTTACGAATGATTCACAAACAAAGACATTAGTTTTTTCTAGCAGATATTCGAAAAAATGTAATCCAACATCAAGAAAATCATCAAAAGGGTAAGTCTTGAAATTTATAAATAGATTTAACACAAATTGGAGTATGTACTAGTTTTATTTAAAAGACACGCTCTTCATAGGTTATTCTATATTTAAAAAGATAGATAAGCAAATCTAACTATGATTATAGCCTAAAAGGAATAGACCATCAAAGCTCAACACAATTTATGATTAAGTATAGAATGGTGCAGATTGAGAACATTGAGTTTTACGTTTCCCCCCCTTAAGTTTACGTTTTAAGTTTTATTCTGTAATTTTATAATTTGTAATTTTTATTTTCCTGAGCAAATATCACCATGTTTCTGATATATGAATATACAAGAAGATACAAGAAGGCTATGATATATAGGCTGATATACAAGAAGGATGTGAGTGCAAAGGGTTAGTGTATTTGACTGTGGATAGAAATTGCACTCTAACGTGACTCTGCAAAACAAATACAATTTAAGTCAACTCAAACTCATTTCCCTTTAAATAAAACTGTTTTGGTCTCTATTTTTCACAAAAAGAAGTGGCTGACACCAATTTTTTTAAGTTAAGCTTTAAAATTTAAACGATACGTGAAGGCTGACAGCGGTTTTTTTCACAGTATTAGTTAAGTGCTGAAAAACGTTTAAACTTTACTACAACCTCTTGAGATATTCTTTATATGAGAATGAAAGCTGAACATGACAGTCCAGCTCACTGCAAAAGCTTTCCAGCTGTAAGTATTGTTCTCAGTTTCTCTAAGATCATAGAATAGCAGCTTTGAAACTCTCATGCAATGTTAAAGATAACTTATCCTCCATAAAAACAAAAACACGTTACTTCTACACAGGATTTTTTTTAAACATTATTAAAAACAGATTTGTCATAAATAGCTTCAAACATAGTTATGCATTGTTCTATTTACTGATTCAGTATATAATTTAATAATAAAAAGTTATAAAATTTACTTTGCTCAAGTACAAAATAAGTAGAAAATTAGTATTTTTCACCAATAACTTCACATCTGTATAAATTACTTACTCTATGATGTGTGGATTTTTCCCCCTTTACACATGACAGTATAATAAAAGAAAACTGCAATAATTTCTCTTAAAATATTTTAATGAAAACTTCCAAATTTAATTATTTTACAGTTTTTAATATGTCATTAGTTGACAGTTTTAATTTAGCTAATAGTTGCTGAAATCAGTACCAGTAGGTCTAATTTTGTTCTTATATTGTGAGTTCATTGACCTCTTTTGCACAATGTAAATTTTGCTGGATTTAAAATTAAATAATCGTATTTATGACGCTAAACTATACAAAGACTGATTAAAATCTCACTTGATGTGATTATTTGTGGCAGTTTTAACACAATTGCTATGCAGGTATTGTACACAAAATATGCTAATAAAGCAGATGGGACCAAATCAGAAAGCATATTAAATGTCATGTTCACATCATCACTAAACCTAAAATTGTAAGTTTGACTGTGGTCAAATGCAGTTAATCATGCCTGAGGGAAGGTAGATAAAAGACAAACAGGCCAAGTGATCCAAACATGAGGTAAATCCAATATACATGTCTTCAGAGAACTAAATATTTTCCAAAACATGATTTCAAAACTCTGGAAGGACATTTTAAGCATGGGAAAAGTTAGTAGTCATACCAATCATCCAAGATCTTCCAAAGGTAACTATAGCATTCAAAGACCATTATTTGTTGGTGTCATGAAAAAACCATTATGTAACAACTAGAACTGTCTTTGAACCTTCACCTACCACTGGTACTCAAATGAACAGGCCTCCTGGTTACCGAAAAATTCATGGGCATGATCTTTATATGAGAAAACCACTGCATTGTGTTTAGTTTTCTAAATTTTCCAAGAGAGCAATTTAAGTCGCTTTATAATTCATTAAACTAAGGTAACTGAACCTGATTAGTGTTCATGGATAATGATTTTGAGTGCATTGTAATCTGGAGAGAACATGGAACACAAAGTGTTCCATCACATATCCTTGAAAGACACTGTTTTAATGAAGTTTACCTGTTTGAGGAGAAATCAGGAGAGAAATGGCCATATGAAACTCCATATCTGTGGCAGATTCTGATTAGCCTTTTGAGTAAGTTGAATGAGATTTTGGATCCCAAATTAAGGATGCTCAAGTGCCAGTGTCTGCTGAGAGGTCTTTAGCCAGCTATGCACCTGTTGCATAGCAATTACTTTATGCATTAATATTTGTCTATGTGCTCCATCTTAGACACTACATGGACTTGACCCAGCTGAGAACTCCTATATTGGGCAAGGGGAGGGTTGCTAGTCAGTTGTTTCCTGAGAGGAAAAGGAAGCTCTCCTATGCTACCACCCCAGGCTTCCAGTCCAAGGTGGCTGAAAATCTCTCTGCTTCTGGGCCCACAGGGTCACTACTTCTGGTTTTCAGGTTTCACCATAGCTGGGAATATGAAGCCTAGAGATTGGACTGGTCGTCAAAGGGCTCCCCAGTACTGCACGGGCAGGCCACCAGGTTGAAGGTTTGACATGAAATACCTGTGATGACCACATACTGTCCATGGCAGCACACTGCTACCAATACTGTGGTTTTATATGGAATTTGGATCAGGAGGCAAAGCAATGCCCACTGCCGATACCATCAGCCCAAGTAGACTATAGCCCTCCCCCCCCCTTGGTCCAACTATGTAAACAGTCTTTCCTCGGGTTCTGGGACCCCCAAGCTCAAAATTATTTTTTCTCCAGAGTATGTTGTCATGCTATATTATCAAGCAAGCATTTGACCCCAGGGTTACTTTATGCATATAACTAAACAATGGCGAATCTGTTTCATATATAAATTTATGCATATAACTAAAAAATGCATGTTGAACACCAGAATAATAATGCAGGCATTGGATAACATTGTTGATTGTTTTATCTTACTTTCAGTGACAGGGAACTTGGATAGTTTGCCCTGGCCTTTATCAGCAGTTGAACAGGGTGCAGCTTCCATCTGTTACTTCATGTATAGTGTAAGTACTGGCTAGTTTGCCTTAGAAAGTCTTCCATGATGGCATCCTCTGCTTTGCCTAACATGCTGCTTAAGTGCTTTGCTGTAATTTAATGATCCAGGCTGGGCCTACTTTTTACAGAATTTTATGAGAGTGTAGGAAGTAAAGAAAAGCATTTGAATTTAAGCTAGTAATTAACTTATTTTTATAAGCTGTGCTGATATTCTAAACGCGAAAAAAATTTTGCAGAGTTGTATTAAGCTCCTGTATTGATTTCCTGTATTCTGTATCTTCTCTGTGTAAAAATATAAAATAAGTAAATTCTTAGTTACAGATCACAGTTTGTAGTATAATTCTTTTTTCCCTCCTTTAGTTTGCAGATATTGGTGCAGATTTAGTTTATGGATCATATGTATCAAATGGCAATCTAGAGGACAGGAAAGCATGTAAGTTTCAGAATACATTTTAAAATATAGATCAGTTAAATGTTTAATGTGCACTTACAACTGATGGCATTTTTTTCATTAAAAACTTAGATATATACATGATCAGATTCTAGTTAGTTATACAGTTGTGCAACATTTTATCTCAAAATATATTCAGTTTCAGACTGAGCTGTGGCTAGTCTGAAAATCAGTAAGTTAGAGTTTTGGAGCAAATATCGTTTGAAAGATAATGTTACGAAATGCCTGCCTAGCAGCGGTAAGATGGCTTCCCCACAAAACAGGTTCTGGGCTGCGAGATTTGGCACAAAATCACCCATTTGGTGACATAATTGGCAATATGCCATAGACAGAGCGAGAACATTCTGGAACGCATTCTTAGTGGGTTTCCTCGAGAATGTTTTTGAAGATAGGTTAAAAGCTATATATACCCTGCCTGTACATAGAGAGAGTAGTATGTTGAGTTCAGAGATTAGCTTGAGAGTGACCGAACAGAGTTAGGAGCTATACTTTAGTGCTTTGCAGTGAAGCTGTTCTCACTGTTGTAGGCCGAAGGCTGTGTTGCTGATTGTTTCAGCGTATTTATCATAGTTTTTTGACAACTATAAATGTGTCTTTGGAACTCTCCTGTACGGGCGAATAAATTGTGTTTTGATTCTTTATCAAGTGTTGTCATCAGTCACTCCAAATTCATGAACCCATGGACAATTTTTTCTATTCTATCTGAGAGTGCAAACAATGACATTCGGGGGTTATTAGTTTGTTCATGTAAAGCAAAGGTATGGAGCAAAAAATCCACCAAAATAAATAAATAAAAAGTTTCAACACATCTTCACTGTCCAATCATAACTCATGCTAATTTTCATAGCTCTGGGCCAATCTTTCCGTATATACATGCTCTTTCTCGCACACACATACACACCCATACAAACAAACATACATTAGATACATTCCTCAAAAGTCAGATTGTTTAAAATCCTGTCTTTAATTTGCACAGTATTTCTCTATTTGCACAATTCCTGATATGCATTTGCTTAGCTACTTTTCTAATGCCTTTTGTTAACTAATTTCTTTCAAACTCTATTTTTAATTTTGAATTGGTCTCATTCCTTACTTGCATTTTATATTTTGTTCCTTAATGAGATATTTTGCTATAAAAGTTTTATTACCTGCTTAATATGATAATATATTTTATAATTTAGCAGTACTTTAATTTTTTGTAGGTTTTAGTTATAGAAAATTTCTGTTTTCTGTATTTTAGGTGTTGCTGACCTTTTTGTAGCATTCTTCAGATTTATTTTTAGACTAGATAATGCAAGGTTGCATAAACCTTATGTTTTCTTCATATTTATTGCTAATGCAAGTATTATGGATGAAGAAATTTTAACTCGTGCCAAAAGATTTGTTATGGTAAGGAGGTAAATTAAAGGTATTAAAATTATTTTTAATTACAGTTGTAAAAATCATTTTTTTATTAAAACAAATAAAAGTAAAATTTTTATTTTATGTATCACAGTGAATTTTTTAAAACTCAGACTTTTTGTTCCTACAGTCACCCCTGGTGTCATTCCTCATACTGTCTAAGATCTGTATACTGGCAGTCTCGCCTCTGAAGGTATATAATCACAAGACTGGGGTTCCTGTAATTAGTGGGAGTGGGGTAAAGCTCAGAACTGTATAAATTTGGTTGGGTGACTAGTGAGTTGTAATCAAAAGCTCAGACAGGTAGGTGCAATTTGATGACCATTTATCAACCTCCAGATTTATAGGCTCACCTTCACACCCTTTGTGGTGTGTCTGAAAGATTATTAAGTCTTCTGCCCTGTGTGAGGGTTAGGGATGTTGCGGCAAGTGAAATAAAATTACTTGCCTCAGGGGAACTTGTTTAGTGCAAGCTTATTCCCCCTCCCAAATACATAGTAGAGAGAATGGGGTGAGCATGTGTAGTGAGTAAGCTTAAAATGTTGCTGCATGTGCAACAATCATTTTATAGTCTTCATAAATATCTTCATTACAATTTAATTTAAAAATAGTCACTTTTTTTGATTCACTAAGTAAGTTCTGTATTTACAGAGCATTTAATGCCTTGTTTTCTAGAATAATTTAAGTTCATATTTGTTCTCTGAATTTTAAGATCTTGAGAACAAGTTCTATATAATTAAAATATCTGTGAGGAAAATCTTTTAAAGCACAAGGCATTACATACAAAGTGAAAGGAAATCTTATTGCTCAATAAAATTAGCCAAATTGCTAAGAGGCATAACTTGTAGTAATTCATATTTGTATGACAGCTTTCAATTTGTTCAGCAGTTTTCCTATAGATCATCAAATGTTGATAATATCTCAAAACATAGCAACTTTTTTATACATTTCTAACTAGTGTAGCGAAACTGCTTAATCCTATGCTTAACGACCTGCTACAACAAGGCTTCAGTGCTAAAAATCATTGCCTTTTCTGTTACAGCATGTACCAAATAAACACAAATGAATGTGGATATCAGAGAAATGTAACTTTTATTTAACTGTGCCTTGCAGTTTTAACATAAGGTTTACTAAAAAAAAACTGTTGCTGCCAGACCCACGTAATAACTTAAATGAGAATTTAGCATCACAGTGCACAGAATTTAGCACTAAAAATTTTTACCTAAATATGACTATGTAACCACCTCTCATCCTCTCATCATCATGTTAACTAGTTGTAGAAATCTTGTTACTATCTACTATTCCTCATTCATTCAAACTCTCCTAATAAGCAGCTAGGACAGGAAATTTTTCCCGCTTTTATCTTGTGTGTAAATTAATAATTGATCATTAGTGATTTTAATCCTAAATTTAGTTACTATCCATTTTATTTTCAGACAAATATTCAAGTCTCTCAATGAAATCAACAGTCCTAAAGAATCACCATATTTATCTTCTAAGAGTTTTTCTGTTTCATGTTTACATGCAACCAGTTTGTTAGGTACTTGTATAGTACACTGCTAAAAAAAAAAAAAAAATGGGACAGTCCTATATCTCCCGATCTACTGGGCCGATTGACAAAATTCAAATTGTGTTCTTCATGTCTCGAAAGCGCGACTTAGGATATATATCAGTTTTATATATAGCACTATTCTAACATAGGTATTTTGACACAAAATCGGACTTTTTCTGAAATAACATACCAATTTTTTTACATATTTCGATTCTAAGACTCAAATTACGCCTAAATATGAAATTTTGTAAAATTTGGAGCGAAATTTACGGAGAAATTCACAGATTTATATCGGCACTTTTTTGTCAGTTTGCGCCAAGAATAGTTCACTTGGCGAACTTCTTAATATATGGCCAACCTAGTTTCCTTTCCTGTGAGCGGAAAAAAAGTCACCATCGTTCCTTTTTTCCAAATAATATTCTTATATTATATTTTTAATTATAACTTATTATTTTTAAGTAATTTTTTCTTTTTCGAATTTCATTTTAATTGTTTAAGTTGCATGTTATTTTTTTCGAATAACTATTTTAAAAACTTCTACTTCCTATTCGAACTGCGTAAATAAAGGTGCAGCATTTATTTTTTTTCAAATAGTTTTCTTTATATATATTTTTTGTCATAGTTTTTATTTTAGGTACTTTTTAAATTCTTAACTTTTATTTTAATTGTTTGTGTTGCATTGTCTCTTCAGATAATTGTTTTAAAAATTTTCTATTTATTCCTTCGAATTAAGCATTTTAAAATATTTATTAATATAAATTTTCCAGAATTTGATTTTTTTATTTGAATTGCGTTTCTTTCGGAGGAAAACTTTGTAACCCAGACTACGATGCGTTTGAAAAACTGCATATATTAAAAGAGAAAATACAGTAAAGCACAGTTAACACGCCTTTCAATGTTCCGTTCAGAAAAGATATATATAAATAAGAGAGACATTTAACTTAGGATTGCGACATTTTAACTTAGGATGACTTGCAGACACTGCTTTAAACAGTTTTATCATTGTGCCCATAGCTTTACACAATTTTATCCTACATTTGGCTTCTTAAATGTTATTCATATTTTAGTCAAATATTTTATTTTTGAAATCGTAAAAATCAAATATCATAAGATTAAAAAGTTTTTGAATTAAAAAAAAAAAAAAAAAAAAAAATACAAATACTAAATTTTACCGTAAAATGTATTTTTTCTTCTCTTTTTCTTCAGGCATTCTACTTTATTCTTGCTCTTTTTCTTCATTCTACTTTATTCTTGCTCTTTTTCTTTAGGCATTCCGCAAGTATATTAAAAAATATCCAATTTTCGAAATATCTTGATATTTCTGACAATCATTTTAAATAAAGTTATCGCCTTCCATTTCATAAAGGCCCACAAACGGCCGAGCGGTAAAGTCGCTGAACACTGATAGTTCACTCCGGGGTTCGAATCCTGGTAAACAGGCTGGTTGCATGGGCGTTTTCGTGGATTTTCTCATGTGTACCGTGTATGCCAGCTGATTTCCCTTAGAAAGTTCTTCACAAAGGCATCCTTCCTTTTAGGCAGATAGCCCTGCTTTGACGTAACTTAATAATTCAATTCAATCCATTTCATCAATATTTGGTCGGAGCTTTTATCAGTCTTTAGAGGCTAAACATTTTGAAGGTATGAGATGAAAGGAAAGACTGGTTTCATCAAGAGGTTTTGGTTTATTTAATTATGACAAAGCACACTAGGGCTATCTGCCTAAGGGGAGGGATGCCTTCGTGTAGGACTTTCTAAGGGGAACTGACTGGCATACACGTTGCACATGGGAAAAACCACGAAAATGCCCAAGCAGCCAGCCCGTTCACGGGATTCGGACCTCGGACAGAACTACCAGCGTTCAGTGACTTTGTCGCTCGGCCGCTGTTTCATCAGGAGGGAAAAAAAAACATCTTTAGGTGACATCCACATACATCACTGGATAAACTCCTGAATCTTCAAATAATTCGAATGAGAAAATCATGGGATCTCCATTTATGATACGATATGATGTTCTATAACGTAATTTAAATTTATACAAAACCATATAGTCTAAACCATATTGTCTTTTCTGTTAACCACAAGCTCAATTAATGGTATTTGCTGGTGTACACATCCAAGTGCTTTTTATTTTTGAACACCTAAATTCATTGAAGTATCCTGAAAGTATCTTCAAAAGCATCCAACTTTTTGAAACATCTTGGTATGTCTGAGAGCCAAATTTCCCTGCAAATTTTTGCTTACTTTTCTCCCTAATTTTCTTCTTTCCTTCTACAGTTATTTTCAGTGCACACACAAGAAAATTAAGATTTTTCGATTGCTAGACTTCCATATATTTTGCTTTCTTGTCAATTTTTTAAAGTATCAATTACATGAGTTGCGTTTCAGCTGAAGACAGCTTTTCATTTTTCTAGTCATTTTTAACTATAAATAAAAAAAAGCAAAGTCCAAAGGATAAATATTTTAATTAAAAGATTTTTGTTAAAATGACAAAGAAATAAAACAGTCCAGCAGGGTTAATTCTGTACCACCGAGTAACCTGATTCTTATAATCAGCTGATGAAACAATCTAAATCATATTAAAGATCATGTTTTTTTTATACAATCTCTATAACGCGAGAGAAAAATTAGCTTCTTAAAACATTCTTTCTAAGAGGATTAATATAAAAGATTATATTTATATATATATTTTAAAGCTGGGACTTGAACCAAACTGTAAAATTTTTAAAGTTTAACTTTGACATGGTGGTTTATAATTAAAGTTCCAATTTGAAATGGTCATAAAAGGAAAACTACCGGTACCAAATGTTATCAAACTTGGGAATCGTGTAAAGGATGTTATGGAGAATTTATTTTCCAGTGGGGAAAAAAAGAGTTAAAAAAACTCACATCACCAGGGGGGAAATGGACGCTGTATACAAGATTGTTAAATGAAATAAGACATGAAGACACATCTGTTTAAAATTTGTTTATATCGTTTCCGAAACGTGTTAACAAAGCATGTTTCAATGAAGCGTCTAGCATTTTCCAAAAGCAAGTTAAATCCTGTTACTACATTTCTCAACATCAGCAGCTTCTTAGCAATATCGGGAGGAATGTTACGGACATGTCAGTGTGTATCACATTTTTCATTTCTGCCGAAACTGTTTAGATTATCCACCATAAACAGTGCTTTTGAGAAAATCCCATAGCTAAAAGTCACAGAGGTTGAGAGATGGTGGGAAGAGGGGAAGTGTTGGCCTATAAGACGTTCATTCGTGAAATGTTGCCTAAGTAACTGTGCGACACACGTGAGGGGTGGGGCCCAGCCGTGCATAAAAATCGTAGTATCTAAAATGCCACGTTCTGCACTTCATGTATCACGAAACATTTTTAACATTGACTCTAAATGAGCTGCAATCACAGTAGTAGTCCAGCTGTCGACTGTTCTTCAGAGAAAAATGGTTCAGTTATGAAACTAGCTGTCGTTCCACACCAAACGGTGTGGAATAATTGCTATGCAATCGAATGCAGTAAGGAGAATGCAATGGAACTAGGATAGATAACATGAGGGATTTCTTTGGCCCAAATTCGATTCAAAGCGTTTTGAATCAGTATCTTCATGTTTTAGGGCCGAATTCAGGCTTCAAAAATTACAAATTAGCGATCTGTAAGAAAACGATTTACAGATTGTAGGGCACTTGTAGCGAGTTGATTTGCGATCTCACATTTTGTAATTCGCTAATTCGTGGTTTTCACGGACGAATTTCTCACTTACACGGATGGCGCACTCGACGTTTATTGAAATTTAACGCCTTTAAAATGGTAATTTTCTTACTTCAAAATTTCTTAAGGGTATGCAACATATTAAACCCGTGTAACAAAGGTTAAGTTAGATTCCGACCCATATTTCGTTTAAAAATATTGCATACAGCGCCATTTTCCCCCTGGTGGTGAGGTTTGGAATTCCTTTTTTCGCGGAAAATAAATTCCTATGATCTCTTTTACAAGATTACCAGGTTTGATAACATTTGATCCAGTAGTTTTTGTTTTATGACCGTTTCAATGTGGAACTTTAATTATAAACACCCTGTATATTATTAAATTTTAATTGAAGCTATGCGTATATGTATACCATGCGTAAGATTTCGCTTTATAGAAAAAATAAAGAATCGAAGCAAATATACTTAGGATAATGGAACAAAACTGAAAAAAATTCCCCTCCCTCCGAAAATAAAATATTGAAACTTCGACCTTTAATTTATTGGATTATCGAAATATTCAATATGACCTATCTTCTAAGTCCTAGTTCCGACAACAATTCCGTCAAAAATTCCGAATTACTTAAGCTGATGTAAAAGATTTAGTATATATTCACTGTATGTTAGTAAAGTAATCTGAGTGTAATAAAAATAGATTATAGACGCCATTATCTTTTTGTCTGACTGCACAACATGTAATGGAAGAGAAGGCTTGTAGAGATCTGTTTTTGATATGCCTCTAAAAGTAGATGTCATACTCCTTTTGTCTCTTCAATATCAAAAAACTTTCCTTTGAGAGGCAACTTTAGTTTTTGGGAAAGAAAAAAAATCACAAGAAGACAAATTTGAAAACATGCAGGACGATTGAGTACCATACTATTTTCGGAACACAAGCGGTTCTCCGATTGGTTATTGAATAATGAAAAGATGCATTATCATGCAATACAAAACATTTGGAATACGTTGTCTGACTGAAAACGTAAGATTAAAAGTCATCTGCTTAATTCACAACCATTTACAAGTCAAACTAATGGGGCAATTGCAGAATCGTTTTGATCCTGAGCTTCTAAGACAAACCTTATATCACTGGATTTAAACACTTCTTTAATCTTCCGAGAACGTTCCATCTTTAGCTCATATTCCAAGAATATTAAGTGAATACAATTATTGCAAAAGAAAATGAATATTCATTTGCACTACGGCTTGGTAGTTTTCTGGTTTTTATGTCTAAGTATACAACAATATTTTAAATATTTACAAATAAATATTAAATTGGAGATTTAATTGGAGCCTCACCAGTTGCCTAGCATTTGAAGATTGTTAAAATACTAATTGTTTGTTGCGAAGTCTAACCCAGGGTTTTGCATGGTTGGTTTTCGTAGTTCTTCTAGGTTCTCTTTACAAAGGTTCTCTATGAAAGCATTCTTAATCAAATAGCTCCCATGTTCTTTCCTATGTTCAAATAACCAACTAACCTAGTTTAAGCGCGATTTCCAAGTGAAGTTACTAGCAAAACCCGAATACTCATTAAAAATCATGTAGCTTGCCAATCAGTGAGTAACATGAAAGATACGGCGCCAATAATTGAATTGCTGTTACGGTACGCTGTTTCTAAATTTAGATGGTCATTCCTTAATTAAATAGCCCCACTAGCGGGCCGAGCGGTAAAGACGCTGAGCACTGGTAGTTCGGTCGGAAGTTCGAATCCTGCGAACGGGCTGGCTGCATGGGCGTTTTAGTGGTTTTTTCCCATGTGTAACGTGTATACGAGCCAGTTTACCTTTAGAAAGGTCCTCCACGAAGGCATCCCTCCCTTTTGGCAGATAGCCCTCGTGTGCTTTGCCATAATTAAATAATCCAATCCAATCCTTAATTAAATATAATTGATTTGTAACTTCTACTAGAGCTGACGGTAAAAATTGAAGTGCAAATAAATAATATCATGCAATCTTGATTAATATAAATTAAAAATTTTGCATAGAAAAATATTTGCATTCAGACAGAAAGTTTTTTGAAATATTTGCAATTACTTTATAAGAAGGATTTATTAATAACCGTAATAATTACTTATTATATTACTGATGATTAGGATTCAGTTCTTGACAATTACATTCTAATTAGAATTTAAGGATATAATAAAATAAGCTACGCACAAAAATACATTTTTACAGATTAATTGACATTAAATACAAAAATACAGAATGTTGGGTGTCGTTTATATAATTATTCTTGCTTGTCCACAGAATCTGCTGACTTATCCAGCCATTAAGTAGCTGCAGATCATTTCTACATAACCATTGAACTTCCATTAATTCAATCTCTACAGGGTTGTATGTTTATATCATAATTTGACTTTTATAAAAATGATTATTCAAAATCTTATATTTCTATAAAAATATACTATGCTTTAAAAATATGGATGATAGTATCTGCCGCTCTTTCAGCCACTTCAAAAGCAACAGTTTTGTTTAGAAATAAATTATGCAGTTAATGTCATAAAATATTTCATTAAATTAAAATAAACATTAAACGAAAATTCTCAGTTTTAGACAATTCGATTTTTAAACGAAGTAAAGTAGCAGATGATAAAACGCCGAAGGTAAAAATTTACTCTTAGAAAAACGTACTCTTATTTTTTTAAAAAAAGGATGAAAGAGAGAAATTTTAAAAATTGTTAAAATTTGAATAATATCATCTATAAATTTAAAATAGATTAATATAGTATTAATAAAATTTATTAAGTTTATTGGGGAAAAAATTTCATATAATTAATTCTCCGTAAAATTTTACTTGAAATTTAAGGTTAAAAAATAGCTGTGGCAATTCAGTGTAAAAAATCCCATAGACCACATTTGGCGTTATTATCGCTCAAAAAAAAGATGCCAAATTTCAAAACGCGAAATATGTAAAATTCGTGTATATCTTAGAAAATTTTGAATAAAAAAAGTCTAATTTTTTGCAGATATGCTTAAAAATATACCTACTTTATGACGATGGTAAAAATTTTATAGGTTTATAATTCAAAATTTTTTTTCGAAAAATTATAAAAATTATTTAAAAATAGAAATTTAAAAAATAAAATACAAAAAATGGGTAAATTTTATTTGGAATGAACCTAAATTTCGAAATGTGAGAGAAAAAATAAAAAAAGTTTAGTAAAAAAAGAGATATTAATAAATATTTGCCCGAATTCATTACATTGAGGAGCTTAAAAATTTGAGAGCTAATATTTTAAAAAACTACTCGTACGATTTTTACAAAACTTGGTATTCTGGCATAATTTGAGCCGTAGAATCGAAATATGGAAAAAAATTGGTACGTTATTTCAGAAAAAGTCCGATTTTGTGTCAAAATACCTATGTTAGAAAAGTGCTATATATAAATCTAATATATATCCTAAGTCGCGCTTTCGAGACATGAAAAACGCAGTTTGAATTTTGTCAATCGGCCCAGTAGAACGGGAGATATAGCACTGTCCCATTTTTTTTTTTTTTTTTGAGCAGTGTACGTGTGTAAATTTATGATCATGAAAGAATGCTGCCACTAACTTGCAACTAACAGTTTGTCACCCACTGACTGGTATCTCAAAATAAGAACAGCAGTTGTTGGTTTATAGTGAGTAAAATATATGAATGAAATGCATGTGTTCTGTTTGTTGTGTTGCCAGCAAGTGATGGTAAACCTACTGTACCTTCTCATTTGCCTTTAATTTTTTTTAAATTAACATATCTATTGACTCTGTTTTACAGGGAAAAAAGTTTTTTTTGCAGAATTCATCAGCCTTTTTCTTTATTTTTTCACTATACTACCTGTTTGCTTTTGGAGGAAAAATATCTTTCCAGGACTGTTAGTGTATCTGCAGTCTGTCTATTTTTGAGTAAATTTTCTTTATGATTTATTTTCCACAAATGATTAAATGCACATTGCTAATTTATGTACCCCAGCATCACAAAAATATTTGCTCAGGCAAAAGGGGTCGTCAAGTGGGTAAGTTTCAGAAATCCTGTGGTAGATTATAATATACTTGTTTCTTTTTATCTATTTCTTCTTAATTCTTATCTAATGGCCCTGCAAGCATATTTAATATAAATTTATATTACGATAAATTGCTTTAATATTTCAAAAATAGTAACTAGATTTTTTTGGGGGGGGGTCTTGAGGATATGAAAACAAGATTCATATTTCTTAGAATTTCATTTGATAGTCTTTTTAAAATACTTACTGTTGGCTGTAATTTAATTCTGCATTATAAAAGCATACTTTAAACCATGCATAAATTTAAAAAAAAAAAAAATTATTTAAGTAAAATATTTTGTGTTTTTTCTTTGTTTTGGCACTTTAAATTAGTTTTGTGAAAAGTCTTCTTTTCATGTTGCAGGTTGAACCATTATGTTTTACAGTGGAGAAAAGAGATTATATTATTTGGTGCAATATACCAAATGCCAGGTAAATTTTTTGTTAGAAAGTCTTCCCATTAATTATGGCTTTATCATGTAGTAAAAATACATCTGGTTTTGATGAATTAAAAAATAAATAAAGAAAGAATTTAAGTGCAAGTATATGTTTGTCATAAGTTTGTTATAGTAAAGCAGTAGATCGTTATTTGCTTATGAGAAAGGATATTTTGAAGAACTTTCTAACAGAAACAGTCTTTTATTTAAATTACAGATAAAAAAAAAAAAAAGAGATACAAAATTACAGATAAAAAAAAAATCATGCTCTTAGTTTGAAAACCTCTTAGGAACTGAATCCAGTACAAATTATCTATGTTCTTAGACTTAGGGAGCCCATCTTAATGTTATAGCTTTATTCTCCCAATAATGGAAATGTTAAAACTTATTCTTTATGTTTGGCTAAATTATTGTCTCCAGACAGCAGTGTAGCTTGCCACTGTTTCACTGTAAACTCCATTTAAATTTTAACCCTCGAAGGTAAAACTTATTTCAGAGGCAAGTTGAAAATGATCATTTATAAAATTTGATTATCAGCATTTTTCTGCAAAATGCAATTTAACTTTTTTTTTACAATATTCATTAACATTTCAGTTACAGTACAGACAAAATCAGCATTATACACAAAGACTGAGAAAAATGGTTTTACATCTTTTCTGAAACTTGTTCTTAACTCATCTTTTTAATCCATGTTCATTAAAATATATCATTTTTGTGTGATTTATAATGACAAATAAGGTCTTCAGCTTGTAATTTTAAAATGGTTTGGAAAATATAGTATTGGTTCTATTTATTCAGAAGGAATTTATACTTCCAAACCCCTGTATAATTATTCTAGAAAATTGTTAAGTATAAACTTTCTGCTTACCAAAGGCAAATTTCCTGGGGAAAAAAAAATATGGTAACATTTCAAAACTTTATAAAGCTAGATTGCCAAAATATGTATGTGTTCAAATTTAAGAGAATAAAAATCTCTCCCACCCACGAATTTCTCAAAAAAGCAAAATTAACCAACATAATTTAATAAAATTTGGTAAATATACAAAGTAATACAAGACGGTAGTTTTTGCCATACAACAGTGAAAGTACCCGCTTATGATTACGTGTAATGCTTATGACAGTAGAAATGTCCAAAACCAGCATTGCAAGATATTGCCTTATAGACACATGAGATATGTCCTTGTACAACTACACCCACTTCTGTACCTCTTAGTTTTCCTGGATGATTTGTAGAAGTGGTTGGTGAATTGCAGTTGTCTTCCCAAATGTATTCCAGACATGTTTATTTGGACTCTGGTCAGAAGACATTGCTGCCCAATCAATTTTGCCAATTATCATCACACTGACAATTGATATTCATCCTCCAGTTAAGCTCTATGTGAGTAAGCATTATCATCCATAAAAAAGAGCCAAAAGTCAACTGCACTTTTGAAAAGTTGCATTTAGAGCTTTGTGATCTCCTTTCTATGCCGATCAGCAGTTAGGGAACCTCTAATAAACCTCTAAATCGGTGTGCAGCCACTGGACATGATGCCTGTCCAGATCTTGACACCTCTGTAGTCATAGTGGTCCCTTCTAACATCAGACAATAGTCTGATGTTAGAAGAATGGTAGTTAGTTGCAGGCTCGTTCTGGATGAAAGTATATAATGAATCATTGTCTAAGCTGAATGTAGTCTTGTCATTGAAGAAAATTTAGGGCCAATGAAGGTGCATCTAAGACTGATATTTTTTGCACCATGCCAGATTCATTCTCTTGTATGAGAGAATAATTGGGACACAATTAGGGAGTCTTCTAGCTAAAAGGCCCTCTCTCATGAAAATTTCAGAAAATCTTAATCTTTCAAACTAAAGTTCCAGTAGCAGAAAACTTGTAAAATAGCTATGTGGCTGTAGCAATCATCTGGCACTTGGCTGAAGTGTTAAATACATATGTTCATCATAATGTTCTTTACCAGTTTTCTGTATATAGATCTGTGTCTCTGAAACTATTTTCAGTAAGTGCAGATGACACTAGGCATTAAATTCTCTTGCAATCTGAATTTAGGATTGCCCTGCCTCCAATCTACCAAAGATCCTGCACTTAATTCTGTCATCTAGACATTTGTGGTTACCTATTCTACCACACTGTTTAAGAAATTTAACAAAATGTTGCAACAGGTAATAAAATTATTGCCAATGTGTATGAATGAAATAAGAATGGAATAATAAAATAATTGCTTTTCATACCTACCAGTGCTGTAGTGTCATTTACAAGTATGTATTCAATTTAAGTACATTATTGTGTGGACACATACTTTCCACTTTTGGTTCAGTGAAAATCCCCCCCTCAAAGTGTATATCTCCTAATTTTGAACACCAGCATTCATTTTCATTTTAGCAGAACAATTAGCAGTTTTGCTATTCGCACATTGGCAAAATATATATATATATATTTGTTTTAGTTGACTATTGTAAAAATGTGGGCAAATAGTGACTGAAAAAAAATATATATGTTGGTAACCAAAAGTAACAAAAGGAATATAAATGAATAAATGCAGATGAGAAATCAATATATGTATTTAAATTAAGATTTGTTGTGTATCTATTTATTTTTTAGGCAATATTTTCTGTCCAAGAATCGATCGTCTTGGGGGGGGGTGTTCAAGAACAGCATTTTGAAATTTCAGAAATCACAAAATTGCACTGTATCACTAAATACAGTACAAAGTCCGAAATCTGAAAGTCCATTATTCCGGAATGATCTAAAATCCGGACATCAAAGCCAACAACGTTTTTCTGGAAGACTTTACGCATGTGCATTTAATTCCTCCCTCTCCGCGCATAATAAATTATTTGGAGAGTCCCAATTCTTAATTTCGCTTCGACGCTAAATAAAATGCCTTGTTATTGAAGAAACAATCATTTTAGCATAAATTTGTATGATCAGTAATTTGGCTGCGTTGCTGCGTATCTGCTTGGCACACATCTCAAACAAAACATTCCACAGAGATACATCGTTGATCTGACGTCAACCTGGTGAATCATTATTTATTATGCTTTCCTTTCATCACTGCATGCTTATCAAAACATGACAACTTGAGTAATGACTCATGTAGTGATGCCTAAGTATTTTTTTATATTAGTAAGTGAATAATAAAAAAGTATGATAACCTTTTATGTTGACGTTACACTCAGCAATGATTTAAGTTAAATGTGCTAAAGAATGCTGATGAGGAAAAATTTACCAAAAATTTCTTTCCATATGCTAAAAATAGATTTTGTTAATGATACTCATAGACTTGAAGATTACATTTAGGGCTATTTGAGTTAAGATTGACTGATTTGTTATTCTCATAAACCCAGAACCAGCTCCAGGGCTCGTATGGCTGCACAGAGTTGCAGAATTTAGGACCCACAGAGACTGCATCAAGCTGTAAGATATCTAGCGCTGGCCCTCAATAAGGCTTAAGTATATGTGGAAATTTATTTATTCAGAACTCTAATAAGCCTTAAGCATGTGCAAAGAATAGACATAAGTATAATAAATAGCTAATACAATTCAGGTTTAATTGTCTAAGTGTGCGATAGAAGCAAGATAAAATTTAACGAAACAACTTGTCTTTAGTCGCCAAGCTCATGATGCATAGCCAAATAGGTATAGTGAAGGATAGCTAAATTTGATGATGATAGCCGTTCATTTTAAAGGTTTTCTGATATCGCAAAACAAAGGTGAAATTTTCCAATTAACGGATTTTGTAAAGAAATGTGGAGAAGGGGTAATAAATGAAGATTATGTAAAAGAAGTTTTTACTGTGATGTCAATGCTTCTCAATCATCAATGAATTAATGAATGGTGAAATCTGTAGAATGGTTCTAGATCCAGAAAATACTGCTACCAATAGTGAAGAAAGTGACAGAGAAGTTACTGAAAACGAGAAAATTTTGATTGATAAGTTAGTCGGAATTCTCGAAACAGCAGTTACAGGATTTCAACAATGTAACTAAACAAGAGATTATGTCTGTCTACAGAAGTAAAGAGAAAGTATTAGCAGGAAAAAACAAAGCAACTTAACTTACATTGAAAGAAATATTTAATAAGGTAAATAAATATTAAGCTTTTTTTTTTTTTTGGTAAATTTTGAAAATTTTGATACCTTTTGGATCATAAACACACACTAAAATAACGATTTCATATTTTTAATTTTATAATTACTACATGTCATCTTACTAGATTTAAACTGATGATCTAATATCCGGAAAAATTCCAAATCCAGGATCGTCGAAGTCCTGACGAGTCTGGATTTCGGACTTTGTACTGTACCATCATTTTTTCATCATTTAATATGCCTGTCTGCTATGTTTTAACACCTAATTTATTTAACATTATGTATTTTTAAGTAACCAGATTTATATATGCAGTCATATTTGTGAAAACTGCAATGCCAAAAAGTAATTAGCAGAATGGAATGAATGTAAATTGAAAGTTGTGATCAGGTTTCACGATTCTATTTTATTCTTGAGTTGGGAGAACATCAGTTAAATCAAGAATACATGAGTAGATCAAGCGTCAGTATATCCATTCCAGGAAAATTCTCATGTAAACTAAAGAATTAAGGTTCCAGTTGAAAATGCTAATATTTAATGAAGGAATTATTTACATTATTCAAAACGAAATTTATGTATAATATATATTTCCCCATCGTAGGGCCAAGATTAGTTTATCAAGAACAAATATAATTGTTGATTACCACAATGCGGCCAAGATAGTTCATTTCAAGCGTCACACTCAAAACTAAACAAAAAAGGGTTTTTCTCTCTTTCTGTGCTGCTTGACACATGGTCTAGTCTGTGACAGACAAGATAAATAATTAAAGAAAAATTGGTTCCATTGGGGGGAGGAACTTCAACCCCCCCATGAACAATAGGTTCATCACAAATTTAACTAACCATTACAATATTACTATAACAATAAGAAACATATAAAAATTACATATACAGGTCATATTATATCAATAATTTCTTAATAATAAGACGGCCCACCAGCGGCCGAAAGTCGCTGAACACTGGTAGTTCGGTCCGAGGTTCGAATCCCGCGAACGGGCTGGCTGCATGGGTGTTT